GCGATCAGCGACTTATGGCGGGACTGAGGGACTATGGCGGACATTCTGACACTGGGGGGGGAATTGACTTGGGGTCACTGACATCCCCAGTGACACCAATACAGTGATCAGTGCAAACAAAAAAACACTGACATTGTACTAATGGCATTGGGGAGGAAGGGGTTAACTTTATTATTCAGTGAAAGGGTTAACTGTGTGAGGGGAGTGCTTTACTAGGGGGCGGGGGGGGGGGTGTACTGCACTGGAGACACACTGATCCGGACAGATAAACTCTTCTGTCCCGATCAGCTTGTCAGGAGCTGTCAGGGAATTGACAGAAAGCACAGCTACTGCAGCTGTGCTCTCTGTCAGTGATTGCCGCTAATCGCCGGGACACAGCCGGCAACAACTGGCTGTGACACGGCAACTGACATCCGCGGCCGTGATCGGCGGGACAGGTAGGGCGGCGGCTTGCCTCGTGCGCGCCCCCTACCTGTTTTGAAAACACACGTTTTAAAATGTGGTTTTGCCCAGCCGTGCCGCCGTGCCGCCCTGCCGCCGTATTTCTACAGTGGCTGGGCAGCATGTGGTTAATATAAAACTTGTTTTGTGTACTGACAAAAAAAGTCCAGTTCAATAAACCTTGGTGTTTGATGACTATGGGTCTATAAACAGGAATGCATTGAAATGCATTATTCACTACCTGCAACAAAGGGGGTTATTTTTACATTAGACAGTTTTCTTGTTGCTGCTTGGCCAACCCTTTAACTGCAAATAAGTTGCCATTGCTACTGATCACATGGTTGTTAGAGCCAGATGTATTTGAATTCCAATGCTTCCTCTAAATTCCTAAGTGATCCTGACAGCATGTGTTGAGTTTATAGTCCCAGAAGAATCTAAATAATTATTTCAGGAATCTGGGTCCTATGGGATTGAGCACATGCTTCTTGAAAATATTCATTATTGGCACATGCAGACTTTTTAATGTACAAATTATTATCTATTAATCAATGCAGTGAAAGTTTGTGTTCTCTTTCTTTTGTACATATGTATATATGTAAGACACTCTATGCCTATATCCACTTAGTTATAGTTTGCTGTGTTTTACAAGGAGTAGTTGTGAAGCAAATCTGTAGCATGACCATGTTCACTGTGTAGCTGTGTGAATTGTAAAAATGCATTGTTATGATTTCTAAAACGCATACATCAAAGAAAAAGCATTGTTTTGGGTGCCTTGTATTGGGAAATTTGACATTTTTGAAAAATACAGCATAAGGATTTATATACACTGCTATTTGTATTTTATGTGCCTGGTGTAAATTTTCCTGGAGCTTTCCCACACCTGGAGAGCAGCATGTAAACGTCCATACTCTTGTAAATGCTGATACTTATTTGCTTTGGCGTTTACTAGGGATGCACCGATACCTATTTTTGAGTACGAGTACCAATACTTTCGGTCAAGTACTCTACGATACTGAGTACTGATACTTTGCAGTGTGATTTGCATCAATAAAAAATGAATGGACACAAATTGCACTGCAGAGAATAGCATGCAATTTGAACAGGAATGCAGTGTGATTCCTGTATAACTTGCATGCGGTTTCTCCATTGCTCCTGTGAGAACCCAGGCTTGTCATAGCCTGAGTTAACACATGAGCAGTGCAGGAAACCTCCCTGCACCAAATCCATGCTGTCACAGAAGGAAAAGCTGGGCATTTGAAATCCCTTTGACGGTGCTGACCAATCAAACGCCGCCTAGCCCATACTGTCATCCCTGCACTGAGAGGATTTAAAATCCCCAGACCTATGAAGCAGCTTTCCCTCCTCTGCTTGCAGAGATGACAGTACAGGCTAGATGGCTTCTGATTGGTCAGCACCGTAATGGTGCTGACCAATCAGAAGCCATCTAGCCCGTACTGTCATCACTGCACTGAGAGGAGAGAAAGCCGCAGGGATTTCAATTCCCCAGCTTTTCCATCTGTGACAGCATGGGTTTGGTACAGAGAGGTTTCTGAATAACTGAAGTGAATATTCACACTTCATTGTGGGAAGGTTCTCAACTTGCTTACTTAAACAGCCCAAAGTTTTTTTAAGTGTTGATCGAAGAACCTAAGGAGTGCCCCTCAAACTATCGAATGACAGTCATAAAAAATCTTTTTTTTGCCTTTAGAAACCCCTAAGGTTGCCAGAGTTATGGTAAATTACTCCTTTAGTAATCTGCCAACATTTTTTGGGTATACAATTCCTAGAACAATGGTCTCCAAACTGTGGTTTGTGAGCCAGATGCGGTCCTTGCCTTTATTCGGCTTTTGGACATCATTACTCTCACTGATATGAGGCAGTATACTTCCTACCGACTCCAACTTTGAAGCACACTTTGGTCTCACTGACCAACAGTGAGATATAACTCCTCCCATTCCCACTATTCAGTGGTCGGGCACTATTCCTTCCACTGACACCAATGTGAGGGGGCATAATTTCTCTCAGTAACACTAATGATTGGGCACAATTCCTCCCATTGACACCTATGATGGGGCACTATTTTACTTTTTTTTTTTTTTACTCCCACTGAGGTCAGGACATTTTTTACTCCCACTGGGCATAGTCCAACTGCACTAAACTTTTAAGGTCAACAAACTGACCCTTTATTTAGAGAGTTTGGTCTAGAGCATATCAATGGATAGCTCACTTAAAATGTTAACCAAAACCTTGTAGTGCTAATTAACCTCTGAATAAATCACTGTATGTGCAAACCATGATTTTCTATTACACAAGCAGACACACACATGGAAATGAAATTTAGTTTGTAAATGCAATTGAGCTAAGATTTAGTTGGGCAGTCACCGCTGTTCTTTGGCATACACTTTATGCAGAAAATGTAACATTTATATAGCTATATACATCTGTATATTATTGTACTAAATACCATTTGTCAGTTGCTTCTCAACATTGGACATTTTTACAAGATCTGTTAAATCTATACCACCAGAAATAGAATAAAGGAGAAAAAATCTGGCAAGAAATGAATCTGAACTTGCATATTTATCATATATCATATATCACACTTTGAAGGTAATATACTAAATAGTATAATTTTCACTTAGCCAAGTGACTACACTTTAAACACCCAATCATGTGCAGAGCAACTTTAAAAAGGGAACTGTCTTTGTGCATAAATTAATGAATTAACTGAATACAGCTTTTTATTAAAGCGATAATATACTCATCTAGTAAATCAACCAGCTACAAAGGTTTTTTAACATGTTTAAATGAAATTCTCTTTCTCATGTATGTTTTTATATTTTTTTATAACAAAAGCCATGTATGTGTATATATAAGTTTGTTTGTGTGTGTGTTTTTTCTGTTGGTAGAACTGGGTGGACTTCTGTCTTTTTTTCTACTATTGTATTATATGTTGTATGTTATGAGACATGATGACTATATGCCAGGGCTTATCTGGGCAATGCTAAAATATGATACATGCTTGTCTTTGACTCCTTTGAGTGTACCATATATTATGTAAATTTTCAAAGATCAGATTTTTTTGTACAATACATTTTTCTATTTTATGATGATTTATATACCATTAACCATTATACCATAGCAATCTCTCTGAATGTATTTAAAGTGTATAACAAGCCATATAACAAGAGATTTCTCCTCACTTACTGTTACACAGTGGAAATGGTATTACCAAATAGTAAGTGAGGGGAAAACCTTCACCAATCACATGGAAATAAATAGAAATACATTTTTTTAGTAGAGAAGGCTAGACCCCCCCTCCCGTCAGATTTGTATTGCTATCTGTGTCCTTGTTGCAGATTTTGCCTCACTTCCTGTCTTGTGAAACCATTGTTACTAGACAGCAGTAAAAACCTAAAGGCGTTCTAACCCTTCCTCGCCCCAAACCAAATGAAACAAAAAGGTTTGGCTGGACTTACATTTGAATAATGATTATGAATCTGTAATATTTTACTTTTAAATAAAGGCATACATTTATTGGCAATTTATTTGATGTTATCCTATGATGCAGAAGCTCAGTTATGCAGTAAGTCACTAGCTGCAATAAGAGGGGTTGATTTACTAATGTAGTAAATGTTCATTTCACAAAATGTAAAAAGTAAAGCTGCATCTAGTTTGAATCCCCAGTTCAGTGCAGGGGAACATAAAAAAAATCAAGATTAGGCTTTTTGTATGGTTCGATGCTTGGAGTTAACACAGTTTTACCTTATTCATTAAGCCAAATAAATATTCTTTACTCCTTTAGTAAATTGGATTCACTGTGTTAGCTTGTTTTCAAGACATATTGCAGTTTTCAGAGTTCCTGTTTAAAAGACGCTATCTTAATTTTCTGTTCAGAATGGACACATTATAATAATGTTTGAATTATGTAATTTTTCAGATGTTGAGGTTGGTTTAAAATTTGGGGGATAGCTTTAACTCTAACTCAGGAATCAACAGGAACATTTGTTGCTTCTTCTGAAACTCTAGGGTGTTTTCAGCAAACTTGAGTTTGCTGAGCTGGCATGGAAACCTGCAATGTTGATCACATCATCCCCTGCATTCTCATTAGTATTTTCACATTTACAACTTCAGTGCTGATTTAAAACAGAAAAGCAAGATTGTCATGTTACATAAAGAGATTTACAATATGTATATAGGTAATCAATGATATACAGAGAACATGCACACACAGCATACAGCATGCTATGAAATATATAATACAATTTTGGTCGTGCCATTTTTTTTCTCAAATGAACCATTTACTGGTCTTCTCTATAAATAGCCAGCAAAAAAATATCCAATCCCCCTACTGCCTTGTATTTCAGATTTTCCCAAGTGATTTTAGTAGAATTCATGTGTGAATTTAAAGCTTGGCCTTCTTCATGTAATACAATACACACAACACAGCCTGGTAGTGTTCAGCTAAAAGAAGGGAGGGAAAAAAAAGCATTTGGCTTGTCTGAAGAATAAAAGATGTGAAAGTGTTCTTGTCAGAGAAACTGGTATTCTCTACTTACGCTCTGTGGACATGGTGATAATAGTTTCAGTGGTGGCATGATAATCATCTTCTTCCATGGATCCCTCACTGCTGTCATCACCCTGAACATCATACTGGTCAATCAGCTCTTCTAACGGAGGAGCTTTGGGTAAAAGATGTTTTATAGCATCCTTGCTGATGTTAGGTGCCTGCTCCAGTCGAAGTTTGCTAAGTATCTGGATCTTTATGGCTTCTAATCTTGAAGATTTGCTGTTCTGTCTCCAAGTACAAGAACTGCACAGGATGTCCTTATCGGTAGCTTGATTGTTGTTGTTCATATTCACAGGAGAAAATATTACCAGAATGCAAAGGTAAATAAAACTGCCGACACGTATCTTTACCATGTTTGCATATAATTTTTTAGTGCCTTTTTTCTTAAATAATTGTTTAGCTGCCAGGCTGTGGAAAGTATTCTTTCCTATAACAGTTGAGATTTCAGCTTAAAAACAAATCTGCAATGATAAATCATGTGTTACTTAGGTGTTCTTTTATACTCCAACTTGTGTTACGCTTATGTCATCAGAGTCAGCTATTGGCTACAACATATTCAATGAATCTAACTGGCAGCAGTTAGACCCTCACTGCCAAAAAAAAGGGTATGTATTACAGCACAAAGTGGTTTCATCATTCTGAACACACAACTGAATACATATCCATGGAAATGACTGCATACTCATATTAGAACACTTTTAATAGTGCATATAAAAACATCCAGATAATTGTCTATGGACATTAAAAAAAAAAAGTTTCACTGCTGCAATATACTCAAATATAATCAATTAAAAGAGATCATGTAGTATATTCTTGTCACTCAGATATTTCATGTATGTTACCTTAAAAGTGTTTTGATAAATGAGGAAAGCTAATAATCAATTTAGGCATTGATTTATCCTTTTAAGCATTATTACATGTTACAATGATCAAAATGCAGAAACTAATACATTTAGGACAATAGAGATGCCTGCCATTCTGACACTGTCCCTAAAAATGCCTGCTGCAAACAGAGACTAAACATATGTAAAACTCTACTAAAATTCAATCTGAACATTTTGACAGGTAACATCAGTCAGGTAGGCTACACAAGCATACAAGACATTGCTGACAGAGAAGCCTGGGGGGAATAGAGTGACCATTCAGATTTGGACACTGTGTTTGATTCTATTCTTTCCACCTAGAGTAGCAGGAGGTGTGTGCCGGCTGCTGCTTCCTGCTCTCTTCTCCTGACTACATAGTCATAAACATGCATGCAAGAATTCATCTTGTATTGATCTGGTTTCTGCAATGTGATTGTGATTGCTAATGGTTACCGCACTTCATACATCATTATTTTTCTTCTGTTTACTGTTATACTGAATAAACACATACAGTGGGGATCGAAAGTATGGGCACCCCAGCTAAAAATTTGTATTAATGTGCATAAAGAAGCCAAGGAAAAATGGAAAAATCTCCAAAAGGCATCAAATTACAGATTAGACATTCTTATAATATGTCAACAAAAGTTAGATTTTATTTCCATCATTTACACTTTCAAAATAACAGAAAACAAAAAAAATGGCGTCTGCAAAAGTTTGGGCACCCTGCAGAATTTATAGCATGCACTGCCCCCTTTACCAAGCTGAGACCTGCCAGTGTCATGGATTGTTCTCAATCATTGTCTGGGAAGACCAGGTGATGTCAATCTCAAAGGTTTTAAATGCCCAGACTCATCTGACCTTGCCCAACAATCAGCACCATGGCTTCTTATAAGCAGTTGTCTAGAAAACTGAAACTGAAAATAGTTGACGCTCACAAAGCTGGAGAAGGCTATAAGAAGATAGCAAAGCGTTTTCAGATGTCAATATCCTCTGTTCGAATGTAATTAAGAAATGGCAGTCATCAGGAACAGTGGAAGTTAAAGCAAGATCTGGAAGACCAAGAAAAATATCAGACAGAACAGCTCGCAGGATTGTGAGAAAAACAATTCAAATCCCACGTTTGACTGCACGATCCCTCCAGAAAGATCTGTTCCACTATAAAGAGATACTTATACAAATATGGTCTTCATGGAAGAGTCATCAGAAGAAAAACCTCTTCTACGTCCTCACCACAAAAATCATCGTTTGAACTTTGCAAATGAACATATAGACAAGCCTGATGCATTTTGGAAACAAGTTCTGTGGACCGATGAGGTTAAAATTTAACTTTTGGGCCGGAATGAGCAAAGGGTACGTTTGGAGAAGAAGGGGCACAGAATTTAATGAAAAGAACCTCTGTACAACTGTTAGGCATGGGGTTGTAACTATCATGCTTTGGGGTTGTGTTGCAGCCAGTGACACAGGGAACATCTCACGAGTAGAAGGAAAAAATGGATTCAATAAAATTTCAGCAAATTTTGGATGGTAACTTGATGCCATCTGTGAAAAAGCTGAAGTTAAAGAGAGGATGGCTTCTACAAATGGATAATGATCCTAAACACACCTCGAAATCCACGGGGGGATTACATCAAGAGGCGTAAACTGAAGGTTTTGCCATGGCCTTCACAATCTCCTGACCTCAACATAATTGAAAATCTATGGATAGACCTTAAAAGAGCAGTGCATGACAGACAGCCCAGAAATCTCAAAGAACTGGAAGACTTTTGTAAGGAAGAATGGGCAAAGATACCTCAAACAAGAATTGAAAGACTCTTGGCTGGGCTACAAAAAATTTTTAAGCTGTGATACTTGCCAAAGGGGGCAGTACAAGATATTAACTCTGCAGGGTGCCCAAACTTTTGCAGACGCCATTTTTTTGTTTTCTGTTATGTTGAAAGTGTAAATGATGGAAATAAAATCTAACATTTGTTGAAATATTATAAGAATGTCTAATCTGTAATTTGATGCCTTTTGGAGATTTTTCCATCTTTCCTTGGCTTCTTTATGCACATTAATACAAATTTTTAGCTAGGGTGCCCAAACTTTCGATCCTCACTGTAAGTATAGTTAAAGTATAACTAAAGGCAAAACTTTTGGAGGATTAAAATGATGAGGGGCTAGAACCACTGTCATGTTTGTATTGTTATTTGTGTCCCTGAGATTCAATTGTCCTGATTATCGATGTCACCAGGAATAAAAGTGATGGTAAATCCTAATTTTAAGCTGCCACCCAGAACAGAAATAGAAGGTAAAATCTACCATGTGCCATGTGACACCAGTGTCATGGTAGAGCACCTGCTGAATGTGCTGCCTGTGTGATTATCATAATGCTAATGATGATCATAACCTGCTGTGCGTTATCAATAATGCTGATGATGATCATAATTGCTGTGCAGTGCGTTATCAATAATGCTGATGATGATCATAATCTGCTGTGTGTCATCAATAATGCTGATAATGATCATAACCTGCTGTGTGTTATCAATAATGCTGATGATGATCATAACCTGCTGTATGTTATCAATAATGCTGATGATAATCATAACCTGCTGTGCTGTGTGTTATCAATAATGCTCATGATGATCATAACCTGCTGTGCGTTATATCAATAACGCTGATGATGATCATAACCTGCTGTGCATTGCGTTATCAATAATACTGATGATGATCATACCCTGCTGTGCTGTACATTATCAATAATGCTGATGATAATCATAACTTGGTGTGTTGTGCGTTATCAATAATGCTGATGATGATCATAACCTGCTGTGTTGTTATCAATAATGCTGATGATAATCATAACCTGCTGTGCGTTATCAATAATGTTGATGATAATCATATACAGTGGCATCTCTAGGCAGGTGTGGGGGGTGCGTGCCGCACCTGGTGACACCGGACATGCTCCACGAAAAGGTAAGTTTTAAAGCAAGCCGACGATCCTCGCAGAATGGATCAGATCTGCGGATTGAGCATAATGGATCGGAGTCCGATCCATATGCTCCCCATTCCGCAGATCTGATCTATACTGTGGGGATCGTCGGCTTGCAACCTATACAGGGTTAACTGATCGCTGCACGAAAAGGCATGTTTTAAAGCAAGCCGACGATCCCCGCAGGATGGATCAGAACTGCGGATTGAGCATAAATGTATCGGAGTCTGATCCATTATGCTCAGTCCACAGATCTGATCCATCCAATTGTCGGCTTGCTTTAAAACTTTCCTTTTCGTGGAGCAATTAACTCCGTATAGGTTGCAATCCGACGATCCACGCAGGATGGATTGGATCTGCGGATTGGAGAGCATAATGGATCGGAGTCTGATCCATTATGCTCAATTCACAGATCCAATCCATCCTGCGGGGATTGTCAGAGGGGTGATATCAACCCTAGGGACGCCCCTGATCATAACCTGCTGTGTGTTATCAATAATGCTGATGATGATCATAACCTGCTGTGTGTTATCAATAATGCTGATGATGATGATCATAACCTGCTGTGCGTTATCAATAATGCTGATGATGATGATAACCTGCTGTGTGTTATCAATAATGCTGATGATGATCATAACCTGCTGTGCGTTATCAATAATGCTGATGATAATCATAACCTGCTGTGTGTTATCAATAATGCACAGCAGATGCCAGGGTATGGTCATCAGCATTATGATAATCACACAGGCAGCACATTCAGCAGGTGCTCTATCATGACTTTGTCGCAGTGTGTCACATGGCTATTGGGTGCTGAATTTGTTAACTAATGGGTGTGCTGTATGTTACAGACTTACACAGTTTAGCCATAACAAAGTCAGCACCCAACAGCCTTGTGACACACTCAGTAAGATTCACTATTAGGCAGTGGCTAAAAAACAAACGCCCTTGGCAGACGTCTAAAATGTGTTCTGCACATGCTCAGTTCTATCTGCCAAAGACACTGCACGGGCGTCTAGATTTTTACTGTGTCGATTTGCTTGAAAAAAAACGATTTTTAACACATTCTTAATTTTTTTGGAAATAGCATATATTGTTTAAAGCGAAGTCCTGATATTTGGCAAAGCAAATTTCTAAGTGAACATGTCTCTGCAGTGATTTTTTATGGTGTTAGACGTGCTTCTTAGCAAGTCTGCTTTGTGAGTCTGATTCCGGGCGTGTCTTTTTGTGAATTAGATTGGGCATCTGCTTATGGGCGCTGGTCAATAGTGAATTTGGTTGCAGGGTAAAAAATAGACGGTCGCCCATGAAAATTGGGCGTTAGCCCATGAATATGCACCCACGCCCAATAGTGAATCAAGGCCATGGTGTCCTTTTATTAGGTATTATCTATTTTGCACCTGGAGTACCTACACATGCCATGAACCTATACCATCTCATCCATATAACTCACCATTTCTGGTGATGAATCACCAAATAGGGGATGTGTTATTAATATTATCATCTCCCTGGGATTGTTTAACCA